TTTTGACTGCAGGATATCGACGAAATGTATTAATTTGCTTTTGCGTTACATCGTGGAAATAAAGAAAAACGATCCTCTCACTGTCATCAACTTTTTTTTACATGAAACACTTTTACTTAAGTCGCACAAGTTTCATTATACAGAGCGTTTCAAATTTCGCACATACGAAATACAAGACGTGATACTTTATGCTAAAACAAACAACTTTTTCCTTTAACAAAATGGCGTCCGATAAATAATTTTTGCGTTTATTTGTTAACTTCAACCTGCAAAAACTACTTGCCAGACGCTATATTTTGCAAAAGGAAAAAGTTGTTTCTTTTAGCATAAAGTATCAGGTCTTGTACTCCGTGGGAGCGAATTTTGAAACATCCTGTATATTTTATTTACATAATATTATGCCAAGTAGCACAGCAGCGCTTGAGAAGCGTTAAAAGAACAATTATATGCGCTTTTTGAGCGCTTTATTAACGCTTTATAAGTGCTGTGTGCTACTTGAGATTCTTCTTTTATATAACTTTATTTTGGATAATTTTTTTATATTATATATATTTTATTTACATAACAATATTTTTTTAATAATAATGTACAATAATATTTTTTTACATAACAGTATTGATGCAAACGCTATAATCAAATTTTATTCTCACATAATATGTATACTTATATAGATTTTTACAGTTACAACATCGATATTTACGTGTACATATACATAAGAGAATAAACATCTCAATATATTTTCGACCAAATCAATGAATCTTAATAAACGATAAGGAACCAAACTACAGGATATTATTGCAAAATGCCTTTTATCGTTTAAAATACAGTATACGTTTCAACTGTTATCCAGTCATCTTCAGTACAATATTACTAAAATTGTACTGGATGACTGGATAACAGTAGAAAACGTTAACTTGTATTTTAAATGGTAAAAAATACTTTGCAATAACTTCCTGCAATTTGACTTGGATGCTCCTTATGGTTCATTATTTTTGACGTAGTTCAAAAAGCCAATATCATTACATTTGTTTGTTTTAATGAATCTTGCTGTGTCTAGAAATGAAATAATCATTTTCTTTTATCAACTTCCGCTGCTGAATCGACAACAATCAAATGCAGATCTGCCTGTATGGTTAGTTAAGTAGTAAAGCTTCTACTTACTATACCGTTTCTATTATAAAAATGTCTTTAGTAAATAAACGATGACGGCGTAATTGAAAGGGCTTATTTATTAAGCATCACGAGATTTTGTGGTGACCTACTGACCTTCAACGATCACCTACCGTTTCGATAACGGGGTTCGTATTTAAAATGCGACAAATGTTGCAGTGAACGACGCGTATTATGCAGAGCTGCGTGTGTGTATGAACTATGCGAAATATCTGATTTCATTTATTGCAATAGGGTATTCGCAATTTTTTTTAAAAGCTCTCTTTTTCATTTCCTTTTCGTATCTCGCAATATATCTCTTTCGGCTTTCAGATTAGAATCAATCATTGAACGATATCAAGTCGTTCAATTCTCAAATCTGTCCCAGTTTAGCTCGAGCATTTTTTTCCTTAAAAATGCATCGTATTTTGACTTACGTACGTATACGTATATCCATGTATATGTATAGAAGTGACTTTTTTTTTACCGTTATAGTAAAAAAAAAAAAACATTAAATATTTCAAATGTGGATACAATTTTAATAATTTACAATATAAGACTTTTCTGTAAAAGTGTAAATGATTTTTCGCTATATTATTAGTCATTTTCACCTAAAAACCTACACTGGCTTTACAGCTGGCCGTTATTATATACGACAATTTTGTCCCAATTTCAAATTATAACCTTTTCCAAATTATCAATTTTTGTACCCATTTTTAGATAAAATAATTTTCATCCTTTTATTAAATCTGTGATTTAAATTATAAATAACTTTTTTAAATTGTCCAAATAAATCGAATTAATCTTTCAATTTATCGGAACTACGAACGCATCTCATCAACTTGGGCGGTTGTTCGAAAAATATACAATAAATTGACTAATTCACTGAGTATATTTTTTGTGTACAGAAACTTAAAGTGAGATAGGTATATATTTAATATGTGTGTGTGTGTGTGTGTGTGTGTTTCTCGCGAAAGCGAGAAAGAGTTCTAGTGCAGTCTAATATATATAATAGATTTTTATCCAGGATTAATAGGTCTGTTTTTTTATATCTATATAAATCTGGATAAAAAAAGTTGATAGAAAACGATAGAATTTCTCAATCAATTTGTATCGTTTTCTGTAAGTTTATATAATTTTCTATTGTTGACCTCGCGAGCATCACAATTGATTGGATATGAATCCTATATCGTACTTTACCAGATTTTGTAAAATTTATACAAGATTCCTACAAGATCTGATTCAAATTAGTGAATTTACAAACCAAATTCCATATTCCAAACGATAGGATTTTTCTATCGTTCTCTATCAACTTTTTTTTTTACCAGAGAATTCTGTTGACGATCAGTGTTTCGAATATGAATGTGGCAGGTGTACAATGTCGTGCAAACAGCTCTGATTCAGGCAAATGTTTTCGCGCCATTCTTTATAAACGCACGTGCGTCACGTGCGTATCGATACGATGGTATTTCCGACATTCGACTGATATTTGATTGTGCCATTTTCGCAATTAACACTAATCGAAACGTGCTCATTTTTTCAGAATGAATAAAATTATATTTTATAATCGCTATTCGCCCTTCTCCCCCTCCCTCTCTCTCTCTCTCTCTCTCTCTCTCTCTCTCCCCTTTCCTCTCTAACCAATGTTTTTGGAAGATTACATACATTTGTCGATTTACAAAAAAAAACGTAGATATTCATGTATTTCATTTAATGCAAAAAATACGTGTACACTTTTTAAACATTAGGCGAAAGAGGAGGGGAAGGGGTGACACGATATACTGGTAATTCATGTTCCGTAAAAAACGAGCGAAAATTAAGTCACAATTTGCATTATCCTTTAGTGCAGTTTACGATTGGCGGGAAAAACATTGTGCACCTTCGTAACGTAAAAGAACGTAAAAGAAGCGTCTTGGGTGAACTAAAAGAGGAAGGATGTTTCTCTAGCTGTCGCCTTCCCAGCCGCATATCCGAGTTAAACGCGGCTGGGTTGCTGTCACCGTTAACCCGCACGAATAATCTACGAATAATTCCGAGAGTAGAGAGAATTTTCATTGAGGGAACTCACCCGTAAGGATAACGGACGCCTACTGGCGGCGGCGGCGGCGGCGGCGGCGGTGGTAGTGGCGGATCACAAGTGCAATCGCTCGTAGTCGATTACCCTCTTGTACTCGTCGTACGGATAGGTAGACCCTCTTCCTCGGAACGCACGGAGTCGAGGACGATTCCGCGTTGGAAGCTAGCGTCCAATAACACGCGGGTGTCGATGACTCCGTCGCCGTGCGATGCAGAGATCCGCCTCCGAAGTCACAAAATCCCCGTCTGATCTTTTGACCGCGCGCGACCTCGACGCGATCACAGATGTTTTTCTCTCTCTCTCCCTCTTTTTTTTTATAGGAAACGATGCGTGCAACACTGTGCAGCACGCGCACCCGCGCTCCCTTTCGTGCGCAACACGCCGGGCTGCCAAATAGCGTGGTAACGCGGCGATATTATTCAACACCGTTCTACACCGTGCTCTGCCCTACACCGATTGGTGTTTACTACTGAAGGCTCAAGTGAATACTCGCACTACGGGCGCACCTCGCACCACCGGCCACCGCGCCGTTCGAGCTTGCTCGAGCTTACGGGCCCGAGCACGCCGAGCCGAACCGAGCCGAGTTCACATACATCGTGATACATCGCCGATCGCGTCGCGTCGTCTCGCAGTCTCCGCCGCATCACGAATCTCGCCCTCGCCAGTCGCCTTGAGTTGCATCGCCCCCACGAATTGACACGATGAAACGAGACGGTAGATACGATTCTACACGATGCCACGACGATGCGAGTGTCGAGTGCGGCAGTCCAAGTAAAGCCCGAGGAAATCCTCGGAATCAAGTGCAACAGTTGTGTTCGACAACTGCGCGAGTCTATATTGTATTTTTTATTTATTTTTTTTTTTTTCTATAATACTAGAGCGCATTAAATTGCATAGAAAGAAAAACGATCGAGGGTACACATTTATGCAGAAACAATTTTTTTTTTTATAATTTTGTTATATAAATTTGGAAAATGCAATTTTATTTAAAATCAGAAATCGCATGAATGTATGACAATTTAAAATTTACTCCAAATTGAAACATTCAACTTTATATATCTTTTATGGTGTAATATGTATATCTTGTGTATTTCATGAAGAACTGTTATATAAAAAAATGAATCTTTGTATATAAGTATTACATTGTAATACTAATTACAATTAAAATCGATAGTGATAGTAGTATGTATTTTTGGATTTTTATATATAAAGTAATTATTTTTATTATGGGAATCATGATGTAGAATTTAACTTTGAAACTATGGATTCTTTCATATACTTTTTATAAAGTTATACACACACATGCAATCGCACACACACAAGAGAGTTACACACTTATAAGTACTTTATTAATAAAGTTTTTTTCTTATTAAAAATATACAATAAAATATAAAATTTATTAAAAGAAACAATGACAGGAAAAAAGAAAACGTAGGGAAGAGAAAAAATATTAATATATATAGAATCACAATATTTTGGTACATTCAGAATGAGACAAGTAAACATATCTAATAATATTTTCCATTAAGATTTTTAGGTCTGTATTAAAAATATAGTAACCATAAAAAATTTCAGAATTAATTAAAAGAGATCTCATTTATTGAATTAAGAGAAAATAAATCGCTTTTTTTATTTACAACACGTTTAACATATAATAAATTTAATGTTGTATATATAAAAATCTGTAAAAAAATTAGTACACTACGAGTAAAAAATTTTATATCAACATAATTGTGATATCACAAGTCCCAAATCGTATTATACAGTTAAATACAGTTTGATGTATGTGATAATTGTTTAGCTTTACCATTTCTTTAAAACTGCATTGATATATGCTTGATTGGTGCAATTTTCACTTTTATTTGTTGGACACGAATGAATCTTGGATCCCTCCGAGACATACGCATAATAAGCTTCGATGAGGCACACTTCTTCATACAGATCTTCCGTCGACATTTCAATGTTGCTCGCGCATTCATTCAGTAACCATCGAAAACTCCTTGGCAACATTTTCTCAAATATTTCAAAATTTTTTGACTTCACACGGCTAAAATTACAATGATACATCCAATAATCTTTAAACGGTTTAAACAATCTAAGAATGTTATTATTTAATCTTTTATCCATAATAGATTCATCGATAACCGAATCAAGTTTGATTTTATTACAAGTTTCTTTCTTAGATTGATCATTCATATCATGTCCATTTTCAAGTTTGATAAAATTATCAAAAATAGATGCGTTGGCACTCAAGTTCAATATATCGGACACCTCTGGTAACATATTTTCAATTCCAGAAACATCTGTTGAAATAATTTCAGTTTGCTTCATATAATTATCATCTTTATTTGGACTCTTTTTTTCCATATTGAGAGAAGTATCGGTTTGTTTGACAAATTTACCAAACGAATTTCGCACAAGTTTACGCTTTTGTTTCTTCGGTTGGCTGGAATTTATCAAAATAGCTTTTTTTTCTGTACTTGAGAGATTTATATTATATGCTTTACAAAACTTGGATAATGATGATATCGTTTGTTGAGGAACAATATTTTGTAGACATACATCATCATCCTTACTTTCATTATCATCCTGATTTTCGTCATCATCTAGATATCTATCTGGGATTGATAATTTACCATCTGGAAAAATCTCATGAAATATAAATTCATCGGTTAATGCGGATGCTAACGGAGGCGCTTTATGTATGATTGTATCGTCATAATATTCCTTCTTTTTTACATCAATTTTAAATTGACAGGGTATCTCCTTAAGTAGATAATCAATAAAATTTTCTTTTCTCTCACATTTCTCATCATCTTCCATAAAATTTTCTACCGTAATTTCGCTTTTCAAATTTTTTATACTGGCGATTTTTGTTTGCTCGAAAACTGGTACTATTTTTTCAATAAAATGTAAATTTGAATCAATAGAATCTATTTGAATATCATAATGTGAAATCAATTTGTGGATACTAAAATGATAAAAAAAGACAATCGATTACTTATCTCATATAATTTGTATGATCAATATAAGTTGTAAATCTCACAATATTACTTACAGTTTTGATTTTCTCAAGTATCCAATTTTTGTAGACGAAAAGTCATTTCGGAGCATATCCGGAAGATCGTATAGTGGATGCTCCAATAATTGTTGAAGATACGAATGATTTGGCGTTAATGTTGGAGAAAAATAGTTTACCTCATTCAATGGCGGAGCAATTACATTGGTAATACACTGTTTCATTGCGTAAACAAGTTCATTTGATATCAAATGCTTACGTATAATTATCTCAGGTTCTTCTCTGTCTATTTTAGAATCAACAGACTCCAAAAATTTAATATATAAACTATTAACATCTGGTATGTTTGGATTGTATTTTAACTTGGTAGGACAGTGCGCATTAATTAAGATTGTTCTTCTACATTCGATATATTTTTGCCACTCCCGAAAACTGAATAGTTTTGTATCACAGATACCTTCATCATTAACTGCACTGAAAAAAGAAGAGATATGTTATATCAATAAGAAAAAAATGATAAAGTATACATAATAATAATATAAAAAATTATACAAGAAAATCGGTACATTGCAATGTAATATTATTTACATAAGGATAGCTGCAATTGCATGGAAGACGTTTCTGACGTTCAAAATATTTTTCTAAGTTTTTTTCACCTAAACCTGCACCGAAAGTCACACACTCATTCATAATTACAGCGTATGGCATTTTATGCGAGGTAAAATATATGTCCCATTCCCCAGATTTCTTAAATACAACACCCCCAAAAGTTTGATTATATTTAGTTGACATATAATCTAGATTTTTCTTCAAAGCTTTTCGTAGGGAGCATCCTCCTTCAATATCACCCGCAATAATTCTTGATAAACCATGTTTCATAATAGATTCTCCATGACCTGTTAGAGAACATCCTACATTTCGATTAGCATATGTGCTGCAACCTAACACAGAGGAGTCGCCCACGCTACCCATTAATTTTTTGTTTAAACCACCACTTGTAACACCTGCAGCAATAGCATATCCGTCATAAGCTATACAACCAATGGTGCTCCCGCTATCTATAGATATAAATTGTATTAAAATCGTGCGTACATCGAACATATTTTCCTTGTAAGAATAGAAGAAACATAAAAATAATAATATAATATAAAAATAATATATATTTTCTAAAATATCGTATCTATAATTTACTTTTTAATACGTTCAATAACTGTTGATCTTCAATATCCAAATTAATATCAGAACAGCCTATTTTTCGCGATTCATTGTAAGCTAAATGTGCTATAGGTGCTGTCATATTTCCTTTTGACAGCCAGTTTAATTTTGCATATCTTGTTAATTTTCCTGCACCTTCCCCTACTACGATAGAGTTGGGAAAATTATCCAAAACATATCTGGCAAGAGATATTGGATGCTCTATGTCTGATATTGCAGCTACAGACCCACATTCCGATTTGAAACCATCTACTATGCTCGCATCCATTTGTACTTCTCCTATTTTATACAACATGATATGCTAATAATTTTTTATTATATGTATTTTAACGCAATTACTATTTTTGTATTATTTTTATTATACCTATATTATTTAAAACCGATCCATAACCACAATTAAAGAATTCATCGCATTCTAACCACCATAATGCAATTTCTACAGCTTGTATAGAATTTGCACCATCTAACAAACTTTGATATCCAATGGATGCTGCAGTTTTACAACTCACTATTTTTTCAATTATCGTATCATGAAAATCTCCAACATCACCATGTACAAGTATACATGGAGTATTGAAATTTTCGCACTGACACTGCATTATATTCAAATAATTACATATATATTTAAATATCAAATTAGTAGACGACAAATTTTTACATCAAGTCTATATACTATTTCTATTAATTTAATACAGATAATTTGATAGATTATTTGACAGATAAATATAACCAATTATTTGTACATGTAATATGTTGTCAGGCGAGTCATTTTTCGCGCATGAGTATTCAGTGTGATATCAACGCTATGTGGAATTTAGAAAGATTCTATTATTTTAACATTTCCATGAAAATTATATCACTTTCTTGAATAATCAATAAGGATTATAAAGCGCTGTAGAAATTTTAAGAAGACCACAAATCCTTATTACTTGCCTTATAAATATCATTTATATATATATCATAAACTATTAACTTATATCATAAGTTATAAGAACCCATTCACAATCAAATGTGAAGAGAACAATCGATTTCATTTTCTCTATATATATTGTGATTGGTCAATTTCTTATATAGCTTACGGCATAAATTAATAATTTACAGTATGTATAAATGATCGCGTTCAGCAGAGAAAATTAATCAATTAGTGCTTAGTAATTCTTTAATATGATTGGTTCCTACATTTAAATCCAGCCAAGAACTAAAGGCAAGAACCAATCATATTAAAAAATCACTAAGTGCTAACTGATTAGTTTCCTCTGCTGAACGCGATCATTGGTTGCGTTCAGCGGACTCAACAGTTGAGTGAGCGTTCGCTGTTATTGGTGTATTCTTTTAGCTCATCCAATCAGAATTTTAGATATAGAAGAATACATCAATAGCAGCGAGTGCTCATTCAACTGTTAAATCTATTGAATGCGCCCATTGATCCTTTAGGACTGACTTCATCAACTCCGATTAACTTAATCGACCGATTGTTACATTGGAACTGACCAATTGCATTTGCTGTCCAATCACAGTTGATTCTCAATCGATCGATTAGGTTAATTGAAGTTGGTGAGACTGATTCATAATCTTCTTGCTGAATCTTATAGTTTTGACGAAATCCATCTAGCCATACATGATAATGGAATCTTTATGTTCTAGTGTTGTATAAGCAAGCGCATGAGCATAATTTATTGTGTATGAATATGTGTGCGATCCATTTAACGCTGCAAATGCTTCGCTGATCAATTAGAAAAGAAAGAATTTTACAAATTGATCAGTCTATGAATGCTTGAAGCATTTACAGTGTTAAGTATTACACCTTGTGCTAAACACGCACATTCCTATATATGTATATTCCATTATACTAAAAAATTTTTTTACATACCTATTAATGTTGTCGGCAACATTACTAATTTCATTTTCTGTAATACCATCCAAACTCAATAATGTTTTCAGTATTACAATAATAAATGCCATGGCACGACCTTCATAATTAGGGATACACGATATTTTATCAAACGTCATTTTCGGAGAAGATAAACTTATTAATCTTTCAGCATACAATGATATGCCTTCTGTAAATATCATAATAAAATGTACTTTTATATATATATATATATACACGAACAATAAAGAACTTTAAATTCATACGGTTCATACTTGGTAGAGCTAATTCAATACAATATCGGTTAACAAGGGAATAAAGATCTGGACAAATTATTTTCGTGACTTCAAGAAATTTCGCCATTTGTCCAATAACATTTCTCATACCCTTGTGTGTTATGTCCATAGCTCGTGATAAGAAATTTATATCGTTTTTTGTTAAAGGTACTTCAGGAGGTATCAAGCGATCTAATCTGTAATAAGATAAACGTCCTTCCCTCCCATACCTATAAAAAATTATATATGTGAAAAAGGTACACAATAAATAAATAAATAAATAAATAAATAAATAAATAAATAAATACACACACACACGCGCGCGCGCGCGCACGCACACACACACAACTATTAAAAAAGATAAACACAATGTGTGTAATGGAATGAAACGTAAAAAAACATTAACAAATAGTGTTTACAGTAATACAATATACATTAATTCATAATCTTATTATTGTGAAACTTGAAACTTACAAAAAGATATCTATAAATTACCTTATCATATCACTTAAATGTATATCCTGATTATGAATTCTTAATGCCAAATACAAGATTGCCCATAACTTGGTAGGTGTTATTAATTCTGGACTTGTTTTATACTGAGTCGTCACATGAGTTTGTTTGTATTTCCTGCGTTTGGATTTTGACACTTTTTTTGCCATATTCTCGATTTTTTTCTTCTCCTTTTTAGCAGATGAATTAAATTTTATCCTGCATACATTGCATATATATATATAGAAAAAATATATATATATTATAAAAAATATAATATAAATATGTAATAATATTAAAAGATAATGGAGAGAGTGCAATTATCCTTCTTTCATACAATTCATTCCTTGTTTGCACTTGTTTCTTTACCTTATATTTTTAAAAGATTGTTCACTAGAATGTGCGCTACTAAATGCGTCTTCTTCTAAGCTTACTTGTGACCGTATAAGTCTATCATAGTCTGCAGTAACCATTAGTTTCTATGCACGAGATATATTACGTTAATAAATTTTCAGAAATCAGATTTTACAAATACATTACATTAGCTACGTTTGTCATATCATACTTTATTCCTATTTAATTCTTTCCAGGAGATTTCTTCGTTTGGATAGATAATTGTAGAATCTGCTATACTTTCAGTTTTTATCCGTTTTTTGGGTCTCTTTTGTGCAACTCTGCCATATAGAATTTCAGCATCTCTATAAAAATATATTGTGTTATTATTCTCAATAAGATTAATTAAAAATTTTTATGAACACACAGTTAGTTTTTACAATATTTCAAGTAAAATTCCTGAAGAAAATAAAATAAATAAAAGAAATACATTGATAAATATTTCATTATTACAGGATATTTTTGAAATAAATGGTTGATATATAATAATATATAATAACCTTTTATGATATCTTCTAGCCAATTTTGGTATCAGTTTCTTTTTTGTAGAGACAAAAGCTACTTCTAGTTTTCCCAGATATCTTGCCCACAATTGTAGCACTGTTATTTTTATATCGGCTGATACACCAAGTTCAATAAGTTCATTTGTCAAACCAATTAAAACAAAATTATATAATTCCCAAGATGTCCATCCAACCTCATCTATGCAAGAAAATATCTGAGTTGTATCTTATTGAAATGTGTTTGATTATCATTATGTTCTAGTATATATAACAGTTATTCTTTCAAAATATAAAGATAAACCTGTTCTATCACGTTTTGCACGATAGATTTTTGTTTTTTGCAACTTCGTAGTATTGCCCATAGGTACATCGTACTCTAGTTCTTCTCCAATGTCCTAAGCAAATAAAAATTGAAATTGTATTGTTAGTTCTTCTCAACATAATTATTTAAAATAGTTCCCTCACCTCTAACTTTAATAAAATTAGGCTTATTCGACGCGTTTTTGAATGAAACGAAAGAATCCATAAGAAAAAACATTAGGTCGGCTCTCGTGAATCAAGATATTAATCGTTAAAGTTGACAACTATTGAAATTAGGATTTCTGTCGTAGCGACGAAATACAGTGGCATGGTCATGCACATATACTTAAGGCTAGAATAAGTATTTTCTGCTTCAATTACATAAATTCTCTGCATTAAGAATACATATTATTTTCTATATAATTTTTGTTTTAGTTAGGTATTTGTCAACAATTTAAAAGCACAAATTCTCTGTTTTAAAAACAAATTTTCTGTAAAAATAAAAATTATATAAAAAATAATGTGTTTTTAAGGCAGAAAATTTCTCTTAAACTACAGCTGCTTCTACAAGAAACAAACGCCGGAAACTCCTTTTGGAAGCTGCAACTGAGCTGGGAAAGACTCTCTGACCACAGGAGGTCTTCTTTGGTTGATTTTTATATCCCGTGGTACTTGATCTTGCTGTAGAAATCGAAATCCGATTGGCTGAAGAGGAGGAAGGAAAGTAGAAAATTTGTATTTTTAAAGCAGAGAATTTGTGTAACTCTACCATTAATGCGACAGATTTCCTAACCTAAATATCTGTCAATTTCAACAATTAATAACTCGTTCGCAGGGCAGAGAGACACTTTTTTTTGCCAGATTTGTTCATTTTCTGCAAAAACGCGTCAACATTAAAAGTGAGGAGGCTAAATTCAACAATTACCATCGTTGCATCTCAGTATGGCAAATATCCTAACCTCAATAGTCGTCAACTTTAACGCTTAATATCTTGATTTGCGGAGCTGATCGAATATTTTTTTGTACTGATTCTTTCGTTTCGTGTAAAAACGCATTGAATAAGCCTAATTTTATCAAAATTGGAAGTGAGGGGACTATTCTAAATAATTTCAAAACGTACTCACACGCGTGTATACGAATTTGTAAAAAAATTTTACCTGGCTTTGCGTTTGACATATCATACAAAAGGAATAACCAGACGCTTTAAAAAAATCGCTACAACCACAGATTACGCACTTTAACATTTCTTTTGATAAATGTTTGAAAAAAAATAATACAACAAACAGGTTACATCGGATCACCAACGGGATAGGAAATAATCAGATAATAGATTTGTTCGCGTTGCTTGAAATCCACAAAAATGTTTTGCACTTAAAACAGGATAAATATATATATTTGGGCGTTGAAAGGAGAGAAAACGAAAATACGAAGTTCAAAAGGTGCAAGCAATGCGAACAGATTCTGATTCGATACATCGAGAATCAATTCTTTTTCACACTCGAGAATCGAATCGTCGATTTTGGAAAACTCGATTCATTGGGCGAGTTCAAGATGGCAAAGCGGCTAGGCATGCTTAATCCGCACTATAAAAAGAACAGAAAACAGAGAATAACATCCGTCATTCATAGTCTTTCCTTGCTTTAAGAGTGGAGGAAGCCTCCATGAAAAATTCCTCGATTTTTTAAAGCCTCCTTGTTTCATAAACTGATCTCAAGTCTGTCTTTCCAAAGGAAGGAATATTTTAGGGATTTTAGTAACCTACTGAAGGCAGCATGTCATAATATACAATATATGCAAATCTAACATCGCGAATTACGAATAATAATGACTATAAATTGTTGATTAAATAATATCGTGATTAAGCATTTTGCAACAATAATGGACAAAAATAAAACTAAAGCGAATTCGATTGGACGCACTCAGTGTGCACTGATGCACATTAATGCCCATTTCCACCAACGTAGATTAACTTTAATCTTAGTTCAACTTACTCTTTGTCTTTTTCTAATCTTTAGAATTAGAAATGAGCATAAAACCGCCGTACATGCACAAAGTAACGTAAATATATGTTTATAAATAAACATAAAAATTGATTAAACCGTGAAATACTCAATACATTTTATTGCACTTTTATTTTTTATTGTATTAAAATATGTATTTCATAATTCGAAATATTTGCATTTTATTTTTATACTAAAATTAAATCAGGTACAATGGCTTTAATATGCATCAGTTTAGCGGCATTTATTATGCATGAATCTCTATTACATTATAAGGTCTCTAGTTGGATCTATAAGTAACAACCAATTATGTTCATTTGCTCGGCGAGCAGGCTAGCTGCTTTGTTAACTTGAACACGCCCATTGTCGATTCAATTCCCATTTAGCATTTTTAGCCAGAATTGAGGAGATAGTAGGGAATTTTTGCAATTCTAGAATTGGAAAATATAATTATCCAGAAGAACTGTCTTTCCTTCGATTTCGATGAAACTCGTGAGGCTCATTCGACACGTTTTGGCACAAAATGAAAGAATCTGGCAGAAAAAAAGTGCGGAACTGCCCTGCGAACTAAGATATTAAACATTGAAATTGACGACTATTGAGATTAGGAAATCTGACCGTGTGCAAACTGTTGGCCTATAGTTATATTGGCCATATCGTCTGGAGTCTTAAAAATTTGAAGATTTCGAAATCAGGAAAAAGATGATGCGTAGAAATTTCATAAAATAGAAAACTAAAATAATATCTACAGATATTTTATATTTAAGACACTTATTTTATTCTTATTATAACTTACTACACATTACATTGCATATAATCACAATTAATTTATTTACTGTAGAAAACAACCGATAATTCGACAGAAGTATGTTCATTTGATGAGCACCGTGCTCAAATATTATGATGGAAACTTTCCTAATGCTACGAATGAAATTTAGACGTACAAATGGTGAACTGCGGCTAAAATCAAGACGCGCGTTTTATATCGTAACACTTAAACTAATTTCTTTGCTTCGAAGAAACTCTTGAGATGTTTCATTTGCCATGCACCCATAATCAGGACTACTACCGTCTGAGTCAGAGACCACCAGAATACACGACGATGAGTGCTTTCAGACGTTTGCCTAAATCGTTCTTCCCGATACTGAAAAATTATATATGTTTTCGTACAATAAACTCTCGTAATGTTTCTTTTTTATAATACTCGAGATATTGCTTTATACATAAAGGACATTTTTCAATAAGGACACTGTACAACAGAGTAAATTGTTATATTCTTGTTGTTTCTTCAACATTAAATAAGGATGAATTGAATTGTGTCCTTGCTGAAAAACGTGCTAAAAACTATTGGTGAATTCGATTACTCGCACTACACTGGATCGGTACATATTAAAAGCTGCTTTATACAAAATATCTGCATAAATGCAGTGATACAATATAATCAACTTTGAAAAAAAAATGAGATATATATATATATATTTTTTATTAAATAACGTGACATATCATTAGTAGATAGTTAATCGTTTAAAATATTTATATACTTTTGCATTTAACTTGGTAATTTCACGTAAAAAAGCTTTTAGTATGTACTAGTCTAGTAGTGCAAAAGCGATCGAATTCGCTATAAGTATTTTAATTACTTCATACCCTCTGATAGTTTTGCTCCTTGGTTATTTGTCCGACTTGATCTAGAAGCTGACGTATTCTAAGTTGGAGTTCTGATAACTTTTCCTTCTGTGCTACATTGGCGTAATCAATTGCATGTTCCCCTACTTGAATATCCAGATGTACTCTCTGCAAATGAAATATATTTTCCAATATATGTGTGTGTCCTTCATTTTTATTTGTTTTCTTTCTCGCTTTGATTCGTTTGGTATGACAATAATTGTACAAAGTATGTATCTTACCAATTGAGTACCGCTGAACCAGGCAGTGCTGTTCGAATACAAGCAGATTACGTGTTCTCCTGGAGTATGCGAGGTAAAGGAAATTCGACCTTCAGAACTATAAACTCGTGAAAGAATAGGTTTGTCATCGGGATCCTTTACTTCAACGTGCATACCAATGCCAGGACTACTTGGCATGAAACCTCCGCTTCTTGGATCATAAAGTTCTACTTTGTAATTGACTGCAAATTGCGAAATAAAACATATTTGTCATTGAATAAACGAATAGGCGAAAGTAGGAAGCGCAATGTATCTTGTTTAATTCATTTTCTTTTAGTAAATTTTTAATTCTGATGATGTGATTCTACTCAGTGACGCAATATATATGGCTCCGGTTTTACTTTATGTAAGTTTTATATTATTATTGTATAAGGTAATATTTTTGATAATCATTGGGCTATTCATTACATAGCTAATTTGGCATTTGAATAAAGAAGAATGAACTAAATTGTCGGGAATCATCAACTTGGAATTTGCGTTATTTATGTAATTTCGAGGTATATTTTATATTGATAAGGACCCGAATTGAAGTTGAAACGTATATTATATATGTTTTGTTACATTTGCACGAAAAGTAAAAAATTTCTGTGCAACCGAATAGCTGATGTAGGCTTTGATGGGCTTTTTTACATTTTTCACTGATAGATTCTTGAGGCTCTCGAGCCTCATTATATATATTTGTTTCAATTTTTAATAATATAATCGAATGACAACAATTGAAAAAGAAGCAGTAAGTGAAGGCTATTGAAATAATGAAATTATTGAATTTTTACCTAAAACCGTAGTATCATCGGGGATCTCTTCGATGAAGCATTTCCGCTCGGTTTCACCGATATGAAAATATAGTCCTGTTCCAAATTGGAGGGTGCACAGAAAAATGGAAACAATACTTCCGTATTTTAACATGGTTCGCGTAACAGTTTATCGCCAGTGACAAGATTAATTGTGAAATCACGAATAAACGTTCGCACGCATGCCAGACGAAAGCTAACGAAATCCAATGAAACCGGAGCAAACTGGAGTAGAGGCGACCATACGGAATACACGTCACCTTCGAAAAGCAAGACTGAGTAAGATCAGCTAGGTTCTTCAATTAAAGTCTTGAAAACAAATTGATTGTTGGTCAAGTAGACGTCACGTCGATACACGTAACTGTACGTATCCTGGTATCTGCAATATCTACATGCGGTACCGTCGAGCAGTTATAACTGGGGAATATCTTTCCTGTATACGTAGACCGTTTCGTTGCGCTGTAATCGCTGGAATTGGCTAGGACTGTCCTAAGTTCCAGTCATACCTAACCAGAAGAAGTCGGATCGATACAAGTTGTCAAGAGTTGTCAAATTGGAGCAAGTTGGAGTAGAGGATCTTCTTTTTGAGCCTCCTTGAGAATGGATGTCGATCTGTTGATATATTTCTCCGTAGCAATCGTTATACTAACTATCATATGTACTGCTCTTTTACAAGGTAGAAACTTAAATAACCCACTTTCTCTTAGCTTTTTACATATCAACTCGTATTTTTTTCTTGTCACTATGCTCCGTCTCATTTAATCTTTAGATTGAGAATCAAATGATGTTTACTAGCAACATTTAATCGAATTGACGAGTTATATTCACAAAAAACTAATAGTGGAAATTAGAAATATATATTAGAAATCTGTCTCGTTTATTGAAGAAAATTGTTACACGTGTCTCACATCAGTAAACAAATAAATACATTTTAGCCTTAGCTAAGCGGAATGAACGAGCCAACGTCCAAAATGCTGAGGTGGAACCTCAGGGTCAACCTAGACAGTTGAGGCGAGTAGGCGCTATAAGGAACGCCAGACGTCGTATGCAGGAAAATGCTAATCATGCTAATTACCAACCTGAGGAAAATGACAGACAGATCTATCAAGATAACGACGAGGATGAAGATCATAAGATAGGAACGAAAAAACGGGCAAAGTTAGCGGCTAAGGCAGAAAAGAAGATTCAGAGAGAAGCGGCTGAACGAGAGAGAGAGGAACATAAAAAAAGAGAACAACTTTTACAAGAGGAAAAAGATAAACAGGCTGAGAAAGAGCGTGTTGAGGAGCTACGAGCAGAAGAAGCAGAAAAGAAAGCTAGAGAGGAAAAGGAAAGACAAGAATATGAAGAATATTTGAAGATGAAGGAAGCTTTTAGCGTGGAGGAGGAAGGTTATGAACAGGAAAACAGAGAATGCGAAGAGAACTTGTTGCAAGAATTTCTTGCATATATTAAGCTTAATAAAGTGCTAGTTTTAGAAGATCTAGCTGCACATTTTGGACTGAAAACAGCGAACGTAGTAGAAAGAATTCAAGAATTGCAAGCTAATGGTAATTTAACTGGCGTAATTGATGATAGAGGGAAGTTTATTTACA